TATACAGTATGAGTTTCCACTTACCTGCGACCAAGCTCCCCAGATATTGGCATCCGTGAGGCCATGAGAACCCTGCTGTGGATGCTTTAAGGCCAGTGCCTTTGCTTGCTTAGGTAATTCAGTCACTTCTCTGGGCAGGATCTGCCCAGGATATTTACCAGCACCTCGCTTCCTAGTGAGCCCTGCAGTAAAAGCCATTGTATTCGATGCGTCAGTGATGTTGTAAGCGATCGGTTTCTGAATATTGTTTGGAAAATCCAGTCTGCCACCTACTCAACGGAGATGGGATCATGAGGGTGTTTTCTCAAAAATAGTTTCAAATACAGCTCTGGGGGCAGTCTAACCTAGAAGGCAAAGATAGCACGAAGAACTGTCTGTGCCAGTCAAGGGCAGCCAAGAACATTTCAAAAAAGGTGTGAGAGGGCCCTTTCCCCAATTACCAGCATATCTAGAGGCAGTAAAGAATCTAATCAGAAATGGAATACTTCAGAGTGTTAAAAGTTCCTACTATTTACTGCTAGTATCTACATTTTCCCCCCAAAAGATATGCGATAAGATACTCACCTGCCTTAGCAGCCCAAAACCTCTTTGTGAATCCATCTTGAGTGTATACATCTTCAAGACTACTGATTTTTCAGAGGATTTTGCTTACTCTAAAAGTCAATTGCATTTAAAATAAAAGTTGAGATAGGCAGAATCCTTAGTTAGGATTCTAGCTGTAGCCATCTGAGACAAGGTGCAAAAAAAGGAGGCAAATACACTATTTCCTGACATTTAATGTTTAAAAACTATTCCATATTAAGAAACTGTGTGAATAGGAGATACATGAGACAAAAAGGTGTTAATCTTTACCCTTCAGCAGGTTTAGAGTATTTGTGCAGGAATTTTTGTCTGGTAAGTGTGGAGGATGTTGAGGTTTTGGTTACTTGTTGAATACTTGTCATTTTGCCCCCACTGAAAGAAATGTCTGCATATACTTGAAAGTTTCTACTTCATTAATACAGATATTTTGGTCCTTGTAATCATGAACGTTCATGCAATATGTTACGACCATGAGAAAAGTTAAGGAACCCATTGCTTTTTAGGGCCAAAATCTTTTGTTTCATGCCTTTCTCAGAAATGTGAACCATCTAGTGTTGGGTGAGTCTTTTGGTTAGTTGCCTCTGCACATTGACCAGTTCAGCTAATTTATGGCCACATGAGCTCTTTTTGAAATTTCTGGCTAAGGGCCTCCAAAGTTCTAAAACAATCTTAGAGGTTTTGAGTCCTTCTCCTTCTCCTCTAGGGAAGGGAAGTTTGTGTATGTGTGGTTATTCTGGGAAAGCCTATGGTTTTCATTTCTCTCCCAAGGGGGCAGAGATCTCTTCCAAGCCTAGTATTGAGAAAAAGGACCAAAAGACTACCTCAAGAAAGAAGCTACAACTTGGGAGGCTGATCTGCCTTTTCTCTTTCTAAAGCTTTTTGAAGAAGAAGACATGAGCTACAACGATTTGGAACTCTGTCACCTGGACACTCTTTTCCCTTTACAGGGCTCTTTCTTGCAAATGTAATAGAAGCGGCTAGCAAAGTAATTCCAGTGCACCCACACAGAGTGGGTGGAAGAGGTATTTGAAAATTAAATGTATTATTTGGAGGCTTCTCTAAATGTTTCTTGCTTTCCTGTGGGGAAGAAGGACCTAGTGCTGTTTGGTCCTCTCTTCCCCGTCCCCTCCCCCCTACCCTTAACTGGCCTCAAGAATCAGAATTATCAATCATTTCTGTGCAAGCAGTGTGCTAACATGTACTCGAAATCAGTTGTGTTCTGAGAGCAGGCTGGTGCTTATTGGCAAGGCAGGATATAAAATTATGCCATAGTTCTCAGTTTCTGCCTCTTTTCATATTACTCTGATATCCCCAGTAAACCCAAATCCCTCTGGTTTCTCTCTTGTGCTTCTCACGAGCCAAGCATATCAGCACACACTAACCCCCTTGTTTTTTATGAGTGCCTCCCTCAGAGGCCTGGGCACCATGTGCATTTAGTGCTTTCCCCATCTGACAGTGCGAAGCTTTACGGAAAGCCCAGGTTTGCAATGGGTGTCTCTTGCCCTGGCTTAGTGTGGAATGAAACAACTGTTTCTCTGTGCTTTGCAAACAGCAGTTAAAATGTTCTTATGGCTGCTCCACTGCGAGGCTCAACACAACTCAGAAAGAGTTATGTTATATAAAGAACTATTTCTCTGACTTTGTTGGTGCCCTGAGTGTGACACCAAGTGATGCTGTAAAAAAGGAGAGGGGCTACTTGTGCTTTTGAGAGCATTTCTTACAAGGTTGACTGCTTTGGTGGATTTGGGGCCTTGGGTGCAGGGCAGAATGGGGAATTTAAACGTGTTTATTCACTAGGTTGATCAGGCTAGCGGCACACATCGTGGGAGACATGAACTATCCCATAAACAAGGGATCAGATTGCTTCAGTGGGATCTCATTTATGAACTGGAAAGCTTTGTTGCCGAGGAAAAAAATGAAAAACATAAGAAAAGTAACAAATACCCTAGTAAATTGCTTTGCTATTGAGGTTGACGCACTGAGATATAAGTTAGGTCAGGGGTTCCCTGCTGGCCTCACTGCCCAGAAGCAATTAAGGCGCTAGGTAGACAGGGGTATTAGCCTTATGCAGTCTTAATGCTGAAAGAAAATTGTATGGCCTGTGTAATACAGACCAGAAGATCCTGATCATCTCGTCCATTCTTAAAATCCAAGGCAGTGACCTTCTCGAATATATGATTCATGTATTGCCAGGAAGGTGAAAGTCCAACTATTAATGAGTTGCTTCATTGTGTACAGCCTTCAAAGCCAGGCCTGTGCAATCGACTCAGCTGAACGCTTTGGACCTCTTCCCATTGCTTGATTGTAATCATGAGTCTGCACCTGGTCCAGCTTTCTGTTTGGGACAATATGTTAAAAATTCATTGTTGCACTTTTTTTTTGTTAATTGAGTTTTTTTTCCCCTCTGAGTTATTTCTTATAGGATGAGAACTAAACAAAGTCAATGGAATGAATTGTGGGGGAGAGCTACAGGCACCACTCATATTCAGGAGAAACAAGGAGTAATCCAGCTGTATCCTGCCTGCTTACTTTGATGTCTTTGGCTGAGAGAAAGTGGAGTGATTCAGACCACCTACTCTCCAGGCCCCGGCTCCCTCGGTGGTCAAAGGGGAGCAGAAACAGAGACTCCAGCCCTGCACACCTGTAGTGTGCCTTGTGAGTCCTTCTCCACTGAATGCAGAGGGAACTGGTGCCTGGCAGCCCTGGGCACTACATGCTTTCAAGAGTTTATCACTTTCTTGATCCTAGATGCTGTAATATGGGACTGTGTCCACCTGAGGCACCACACGATGCAGTTTGAATGCGTCTTGATGCCAGAGCACTGTGTTTGTGTTTGCCTCACCATTTCTAATGCTTGTGAAGAGAAGTATAATAACAGCCTTAGATGCTGTTGTGTTTGCTTTACCCACGTGCGTTAGGCAATGTCAGGACAATTTTTGGTTGGCCTGGAAGGGCCGATCTGGAGATAAGTGTGTCTGAGGAAAATCCAAGCAGCCTTGCAACTTGCTCTATACTGCATGTATTTTGTATGTGTTTCTTTGTTTTAAGCACTCCTTGTTTTGTTTTTTTGTTTTTTGTTTTTTCCAAACATGAAAGGCATGAGGAGGGGTGGGAAGGCTGAAAAAGCCAGGCACTTACTTAGGAGATGATGCTCACTTTACTCCTCAGGCTTCGGAAGTAATGAGGACTCAGATCTCCAATCCAGGCTTCTCTGTACTTTCCAAGTCAGGTGAGAGACAGAGAAAACTACCATAACTACTGCAGGCACAAAGGAGACCTGCAGTCAAAGGCAGCTTATCTGCTAGGGCCTGCCCAGCTGCTGCTTATCATCCATGTTGCATCTGGCTTTTCACAGTACATCTGTTTAGCATAAATAACCTTTTTATTGGTGTCCTATGGTACATCCAAACAATGAACAGAAGAAAAAAGAGAAACTGTAAATAAATTTTACAATGTCAGTAAAAGCATTCACATTAAGGGAAACTATTTGGAGTGAACGCCATTTCTTAATAAATTGCTATTATTTTGGTGTTTTTACAAAGACCACAAAGAAAAAAAGAAAAATCCCAGAAATGTTTGAAAAATGGAAACATTGAATGTCGCTGCTCAGTCACTCCTTTTAATCATAAATACTTCTAGGCTGTCCTCCCAGCAAATGAGGTGCCAAAATTTCTTTTTTCTTTCAGTGTCTTTCTGAAAGCCAGTGGCATAAAAAAAGACCATGAGTCACTGGCTGAGCTCCCTTTCCTGAACGCTCCCTGGACGACTGTATTTGAACCCATATTACCAGTCCTTGATCTGAGCAGGCTTTCTGGCACCTGGGGGTTCATGTCACAGCCCAGCACTCTGCAAAGGTGCCTGTCTTGCCTCTGGACCAGAAAGCTCAGCCTCAGGAGATGGGAGCTCTCGTGTTATTGCCCAGCCAGGGCATTGCGTTAAGGAGCAGCAACGCTTCTTAAGCAGGTTTTGCTGAGAAGGATGGCCACAGCCTTAATTCCCCGTTACTGACTCCTTGTTTGGCGTAATTTTTCAGAAATGGGGCCTTATAGTCCACTTAACCGAGACCTGAGGAACTCTGCTCAGCTGTCAAAATCAGAGAGCTAAACCTAATCTTTCTGAAATGTCACCTCCTAGGTACTCCAGGTTTAACTCTCTAGGGCCATGTGGAATTTGTAGCTACCACATGGACTTTGCAAGGAGATTTCTATACCAAAGAGGTTTCACGGCAGACCATAAGATACATGTAGATGCCAGCGGCATACTGCACAGCGAGAGATGTCTCCTCCCATAGTGTTACTGTCACTGAGCAACATGGGGACTGGGGTTAATATTTCAGGGGTCCCAGCAAATCTTTTTTTCTTTTTGGTGGTGATGATGCCATTAAGACCTATTTTATCATGTATGTTTCACAGCCTCTTTCACCCTCCATGTGTCACGTGGTTAATGCCTGTCTTCTGCAGGGATTCTGGAAGCTGCTGCATTTGACTGGGATTTTCCATGCCAAGAAGAGCCCTTTGCTGATGTAAGGCCCCGGCACCACAGGAGGGGGGTTACATAACGTGTGGGTGCCCTGGAAATCTTACATTAGAAGCATGGAAGCCCTAGCTGGTGTTGGAAAATCAAGTGCCAGGCTAACAGTGATGGATGCTGTTTTGAAGGTCATGTCCCAGTGGGCAGGCAGCAGCAGGGCTGTACTGGAAATAATACCAGAGGATGGGGATCTCAAGCTAAACTGGTGACATCATTTTCCCTCCAAAGGAGCTTGCAAATACATTAATCACAACAGGTACTGCTTCCTTCCCAGGGAGGATTTGCTGGAAAATAGGGCTGTGCTCCTGGACAATGCTGTGGATGGCGCTACGTCTGTGGCAACTGGCATTTACAAACCAGAATAAGTCAGGCCTTAATTCCTTCCAGTGACACAGGCATGGGTAGGCTGTGGCATTTTCAGGGGGATCCTGCTATTATCTCTTTTCCTGACATGGCATTTGGAGCTGTACCCAGACAGTCTGGGTTTTGTGCAGAAAAAGCAGCGTGATGATGGCGGAGGTGAGAGGGTTCAGTCTGCGGAAACATTAGGAAACCAGCACTCCTGGCTGTAGCCAGCTGCACCCACTACAAGGTGTCCTGGCCAAGGAAGTGGGTCCCAGGCCTGAACAAACTCTTGCCATTTCACACACCTCAGAAGTGTGTTTATAGAGAAATAAGGCCAGAGCCCAGTGAGCCAAAGGGAATGAGGGATGTTGTATGAGCTCACATGCTTGCTTCATGGGGCAATTTTAATGAGTAATTGATTACTAATTATATGTGCTGCTTTGTGGTGAAACATCATGGTACTTTGATATGGACCAGGAACTGAAAGTTTCTATTGTGCTTATTTTTTTAAAAACTTTTGGGCTTGTGATCTATATGGAGTATTTTGTGCCTAATTAATTTTATGTATTGACTCAAATGAGTGTTGATTTACTTGCTGAATTCAAGATCAATTTTAATGAAGGTCTTAGTGTGTGCTGGCTTGGGGATGCAGACTGCCATATTATTGGTTTGTCTCGATTGCTCACTGGTTTGTTAGACTTCAATAATAAAACTTCTGGCATAGCAACAGCTTCCCACTTCTCTACAATTGAGCAGAAAACAACAGAGCTGAAACAGACAACAGACTTTATTAAACTCACATGTACATACATAACAAGTAGACACTTTAGAGCAAGCAAGTTTGACCTACTGGCCAACAGCAACAAACGAATCTATTCTTTTTTCACTCTCAAACCAGGTGCAATCAAAACAGCAACTTCAGCTGAAGTGCCAGCCTGTAAACTAAAAGGAAAAAACAAAATGCAGACATCTTCAAGGATATTGATATCTGCTCCCTTCTTTGCCACAGCTGTTTTCTTCCACTCTTTCTCTTCTCCTCTGTCTGGGGCAGTACAATATAGCCACATAGGTCTCCTTGGGAGAAGGCTGGGGCAGGGGCTTAGATGACTGGGAAATGCCTCATGGAGCTCCATGTAACAAGGGCAGAAAGTTGAGATGCTGCTGGACTTCTGATGTGCATCCAGCCTTGGCTCTTCAGGGTGCTGGAGTCTTTCCGGGCACTGTGACTCCACTGTGGGAATGCTCAAACCAGGAAGGCTTGCAATGGCATTGTAGCCATGAATATCTGTACTGATGCAGCTTAAACTGATGCAGTTTGTTTTTTCCTCTTCCACAGGACGTGGCTGTGCCCCCTGGATCAGTTGGCTGCGTGTTAGGATGAACATCCTGCTTGGACAGAGCAGAAGTTAGCTAGGACTTTGGAACTGGTAGTGGTAATGCTGGGAGCACACCAAGGGGAATATTTGCTTTCAGATTCCAAACAGGAAACCATAAGCAGATCCAACTTGCAGGGAGCGTGGTGTGGGAGGATGCGCAGAGACTCAGAAACAAGGAGTCGCAGGAATGATGACGGAGGCATTTTTAGACTTTGTAACGCATGGCCTCAGTTAGCCAGGCAATGAAGTAAATCGCAGCTCTTCTTTCGGGACTGAAGAGCACCTGTGAGTTGCTCTCAACTTGGGAAATGGCAATTGGCCCTTCCAGAGCTGACAAATGGGTGGTGCGGGCAAGAACGTGAGCATCAGTTCTTTTTCAGTCTTTAGAGAAGACACACAGACACAAACTAACTTGTCATGCTCTCTTTAATTTGATTTTTTTTTATGACAAGCAAGCCCAACTGTTTAATGTCCTGTGCACAAAAAGGAGAAAGCAGTTATTTTGTTAGCTGAGGGGAAAAAGCCATTTGCTTAGCTTCAGTAAACAAAACATAAATTGGCAATTACGGCGTCCAAAGGACCACAGAATTTTCTACAGTACCAGCTCCCAGAACACTGATGTTTCTTTTCCAGTATGATGTAATAGAAGGATGAGACAAAAGGACATGGAGCAGGCTTAAAAGGTCCTTACCCTCCTGAGTAGTCTCCATCAAACCAATGGGTAAATGTCTGCAGAAGAGGACCACACCGAAGTTCTGTTGGTAGGTGAACAGTAACCTTGCCAAACAAGGCACCCCATTCAGTCTGTTTTCAACGATTTAAAACTGAGCTAGAAAATGTGAATCCAGGCAGGAACTTGGCATTTAAATTACCCACTTGAGAAGACTGAGCTTTTTTTCTAATACAATTTAAAAAGTGATAATCCTGAGGGATGTGAAAGGAGTTAGGGCATGGAGACGACAGGGAAACAGAGTCCTTTCATATGCTGCTTGACATTTCGGTAATTTTTCAAGCAGCATTTTTGACATTTTTTTAAAACGTAGAACTCTCTCAGATAAGTTTGCAGCATGAGCAGACTGAAGTTTGATCTTTTCAACATACATGGTCTTGGTGTAGAGATAGCTTCTTCCTGCATGTCCGTGCTGTTGGTAGTGTGCATATACGCTCAGCTGGCTTCAACCTCAGGAGATGCTAGCATTATTAGAAATGTTGTAGCTCATATACCTATGCAGTAACTAAGGCATTTGGCTAAGTCATGGACTCAAATGATCTTTAATGAAAGGGATATGTATATAGATACAAAATTAAAGTCCAGTATACATTGGATATATACATACTGTAGAATACGTACATACCATACATAAAATTAAAAATACATGTATTGAAGCCATACGTAAAATTAAAAATACATGTATTGAAGAGCATTTCTAGTAATAACCTGCTACATGATTAACAAAATAAGTAAGAAATTGCTGAAATTTGTCATGTTAATTAGCAATGCTAGAAAATAATAATTGAAATAATAAGTATGTATTAACAGTGGAAAGATGACTTAGAAATCAGGATATTAACCTGGGCCTCAGGAAATCTCTCTTCGTTTGCCTGTGCTGTCAGCCTCTTCTTGTGTGTCTGCTGATCATATCAGTTCAGTATTTGAGTATCTGACTTGTTAAAATCAATGGCAGGTGATATTTTTTGAGGGTGCTGCCACAGAGTGTGGGCATGAAGAATATTCAGGTGATTCTGCTAATTGTGAGCTGAGTTAACAACTGGGAGTTTAGCCTAAAGAAGATAATGTTAATGATCTTTAGGCACCTAAATCTATGCATTCAACCCTAGTGACGAGAAAGCCACTTCACCACAACAACTCTCTCTCCAAGCCATCCCTCCAGCACCATCTGGCCATTGTGGCCATGCACAAGGATGCTGTGCTTCTCTACTGTGCTGTGGCTTGGGGTGGCTGGCTCCCCAAAGTTCCTCAATAGGAGTCTCCATTTCAGTATTCCCAAGGGCTGCTATGAATCTGTTGTTTTTGTTGTTATTTGTGTTTCGGTTTTCTCTCTGGATAGGCCCCCTCCTTTTTTTTTCTACCTGGAAATGCTGACCTGGCAGATTCTAACTTTTACTTAAGGTTTCCAGATGTCTGGTCATCCCAGCCTTGATGGCCATATGGTACTGCTTTATTTTGACAGTATGGTCATAGGATGGGTCACCCAAGAGCTCCTTGTGTTATTAATCATTATCAGGGCTTTGTTTCCTTCCAGAAGGACTTCATGGATGCTGTATAGTATATATCTACCACGCCGGGGTACACTCGATGGACCTGCTGCCTATGTCCTGCATATGAGTGCTAAGTTCAGCACTTGCTCGCATCAAGTACAGTGTGGCTGCTGAGGCATCCCTGGAGGAACTCTATGTTGGCCAGCCGCTCTGGGACCACTTCCCATAAGCATGCTGAAAGCGCAGAGCACGGAAAACATCTAGGGTGGGGGGGGGGGGGCAGATGTTCTACACTCGCACGCAGTGTAGGAGATTGGAGTTTAACTGTCTGCTTAGCTTGATTTGGCAAGAGGTCTTAGTAGGAGGTCTACTGGACAGTGGTACAGTCTTCCCATGGGCCACTGACCCCTCAGTTAATGCTGTAAAATGAAATAGTTCCAGCAGGAGAGGCTCAAAAGCCTCCTCCAGGTAACCTGTTAGTTGCTCAGTTCCACTTGTTAGTTACTGCTTCACTCCAGACGTGAATTCTCCACCCTGCACCTGGGGTTGGGGTGGAGAGGAAACAGAAGCAGGTCCCAGGGCCTGCCAGTGGCATGCACATGCTGTGGGCCTGCTCAGCTGCTCAGGCCCAGGCACTCAGCTCCATCCTCCTCATTTGCTTTCAGGGCCACCTCCCAGAGACATCTAACAGTGTGAGGCTCTCTGCGAGGCACCAGTGCACCTGGGCACTGGAGTCACAGAGGGCATTAGAGAGTCTTGTCCTCTCAGGACTAGACACGAGCCCAAGGAGCGGTGAAATGGCAGGGTGGTGCCACGTGAGCAGTGGAGGGGCCCTCATGACTGGGCATGTGAATGCCCGAGCCTTGGTCCTTTCCTTCCCTCCATACTGGTGTGTCCACGTACCTTTGAGGCTACAGCCTCAAATAACCCTCCTGAAGGTCCCACCAGTGAACAAGGTGGGCAAAGCTGCTTATGAGTCACATTGCCCAATCCTACCCACATGCCTTAATTCCAGGACTACTCTTCGTCCTCTTATCTAATCGCAGTCCCCTAGTTGTGCAGTATGTGCTACATTTAAATTCAGAGAACATAAATAACTCGCTTTGTTGAAAAGCAACCCATGATATACTCATTGCCTCTTCCTCTTCCAATTTGCACTTGCTAGGTGCCCCCCTTGTCCCTCAGTGCTTTCTGTTCCCTCAGCATGAGTGTGCATCATCATTTTTATCAGCCTTTAGGACTTGCTGTTAACTCCCTTACCAGTGCACCATTAGCACCTTGGAGGAGAGCAGAGGACTCATAACTCGGGGCTGCAGTGCTATGGTGCACTGGGAGAGGAAGCTGAGATTGCTGTGGCATGCCAGCATGCTGCCGGCAGCTGTGCACCATCTACCAAAAACAAATAGCCATGCTGGCATTCAGCTGTGCTGCTAGCGCTTTAACACAAGGTTATTGTCACAAAATGGTAGTTCACAAGCATCGATCACAGGAAGATATTGGCCGCACCACAGGCATTTGCTGCTTGAAGCAGGATGGTGGTCTCAGTTACTCCAGTGTCACAGCTCTTTGCTGTTGCCGCTGTGTTAATGTCAATCATTGGATGTGGCTGATGGGAACTTTTGAGAGAAGTGGCCCTTGTGGCATACGATTTAATAACTTGGAGAGTTACAGTTATCTGAAGAAAACACTTTGAATGAAAGCTTCAGTAGGACTAGTTAATGAGCAGAAAAGAAAGCAACCTGAACACCTAGCGGTTAACTGTGACTAAGCTATTGAATTTGCTAACTCCTTGCATCAGGGAAAAAAACTCTGTTTTCAGCATTTTGTTGGTGCTCTAATAATCTTTTTAGGCGATGAAAGTATTGGGAAACGTCACTGGATTTTTGGATCAGATCCTTAGAAAAGACAGTGATCATAGTTGTTACCTGACTTTAGATTCAGCTTCCTGACTTACTGACATTTCTTGTTTTTGTACAAAATGTATATTCCCTCATGCATTGACAACTGAATAGAAGTGGTTCAGCTGCTCCCCTTTTGTGTGACCCAGTCACATCCCAGTCCCTGCTAATGGGGAAGACTCAGTTTGTTTATCACCTCCCTTCCCCCAAATCTGTCTTGAATACTATCCATGTGAGCTTTAAACATCTGCGGGGTTTGTTTAAGTGGGGAGTGGGAGCAAGCAGGGTTTGAAAAAGGTGATTTGGTACCCCCATATGGTAGTGACTGTGAAACTGGGCTGTGCTGGAGTAGCCCCCCTATGTCTTTGTTCTCATCCACATCCCTTACCTACCCCTGACTGCCACAGAAAGTCCGCTTTGTTGGCATGCCAACCGTTGTTCCCTAGCACACTTCCGCTATAAATCCTTGTTAAGTGTATATTGTTGGCTCTCCAAGAAGGTACGAGAGCTGCAGTGAGTAGTTACATGGAATGTGTATTTGCAAGGCAACTCCTCGTTAGCCAGAGCTTTTTTCAAAGATTTCTTAACTTCATCTTTGGTTGTTTCACCTGAAGGAAAGGTCAACGGAAGGTGCAGAGAAAATGAAAAGCATGTAAAAGGTGGAGTAGCTTTGTCCTGCATTGAGACATCTTCTATGCCTTGCTTGTTATGTAAAACCCATCAGAAGGAGAGGGGAATAAACAAAAGAATTTTCTTCTCAGCATGTACTGGGACCTAGCGCTGCAAATAAATGCATTGTTAGTTGAAATCAGTGTTTTGGTTTCTCCCTTCCTTTGCGAGATGCTGTAGAGGAAGCAGATTAAAGATTGCCAGCTTTCTGGCAAAATATACTGGTGGCATCATAATGACTTCATTATGGTCCCTAAATGAGCTAACAGACTTATAACGTGCTCAGGAAAAAATACACATTATGAACATGCACCCAGGTGTAGGATTAACCCCTTCTGTGGTGTCCCCTGCTTTGAGTTCAGCTTCAACAGCTCAAGTCACAGCTCAGTGATCTACTAGCTGAGCAGTAAAGGATTTAATTCAACAGCTGTGTGCCAGCTAATTGCAGCTGTATTTGCTTAAGAATTCATCTACAGTGCAAAAAGCATGAGAGCTGTTTATTTGTTTGCTTGTCTGCTGGTGTCTGGGAATGCCACTCCTAGGTGGACATGCCTGGGCCATGGTGCCCGAGACTGTGTAAGGCCCTGGAGCCCAAGCCTTCTTTTATTAAAAGGGCTTTCAGAAGTGGCTTACATGATACACCCGTTTTTGCTTTTCCCTATGCTTTACATGCTGTGTAAAACTTGTTCCCTGGCAGAAACAGATTCAGTAGGCAGGGGGTCAAATTCTGTCCAGACTAACTCTCTGCCTGCCTTACTGATGTCTCCTCATTGATGGTGCAGAACCACTTCACCGTCGGCAGCACTGGACCCAGACTCTTACTCTCTTCATCACAATGTCCTTAACCCTCCTGGCCACCTCCTTTCTGGCTTCATCGCTTTATGCTTTTACTCTCTGCTGTTGCTTGAACCTCTACCTTGTTTTTCATTTCTGGATTATGTAAAAATCTTCAAGAATCTCTTGGTAAGCCATATGTAGCTCTGCCGTATTTGCTTTTGAGGTTTTCTGGATGTAATAATATGGGTATTGTGATTTCAGAATGAGAGCAAGCATGCACAAAATGTTCTGCAGACACTCAGTAAAACCAATGCTTCCAGAAAATGTGGGACTTTTATTGCATACATAGACTAGCTATGAAGCACTTCTTCGGGAATCTCTGAGACTGCTGCATGGTAAGTGTCCTGCACAAGGGTTGATACCGGTCTGGTATCTTTTCTGTAGGATGGGGTATACACATAGAGTGGGAATGTCTGGGATGTACAACTGTCTGTCAGCTCTGCTGCCTAGGTCTCCCTGCATCTGCCAGAGGTCCAGAAATCCCAACAAACAGAGGAAGTCCTGAAAATGTCCTAAAAATAGACAGAATTTCTAGGTGGGAGAAGAGCACAAGTTCAGGAAAACCTGAGAACATTGAAATAAAACTACTGCTATCCTGTTCCATGAATAGTTGAGCTTAGGTATCCTGTTTTCTGATGGATTTATATCTGGAGGATAACTTTGTTATGTAGGAAGATGCAGTATCTTACGAAGCTCTTGTTTCACTGGGGTCATTCATATGGCCCCTTTTTCCCCATATGATGTTTAATACAGGGCCTGTGGCCTGTGGATGATGTGGTCAATGTGAAGACTCTTCTAGGGTCTCTGTCTTCTACCCGTCCCCTATTTTCATGAATGATGTAGGATTTTTGTATCTTTTTAGATGCCTGTTCACCTGTCAGATGTGGCTGAACTTCATCATTGGGTGATTATGACAGCCGGACAGGAGACAGACACTTACACAGAGATAGTATGACCATATTCGATTTCCTTCCTTAGGAAATGAGGCCAAAATCCACTGGCCCATCTCCTGCTCTTTCACCTCCCAATGAGCTGAGTGTCTCTGGTGGGGGAGCTACCCAGGAAAATCTGCATAGTTATTTCATTATCACCTTTCAGATCCCCCTTGCCTGGGCTTCTGCGACAAGTGTGGCTGCAACAACAGCAGCACACTATGACTGCTGCTGACTGTGCTCTGGAGTACTGTTTCCTTACTTTTGGACTCCCCTCGTCTACATCCATCTGTTGTCTTTAGACATAGTCTATAAGCTCCCTGGACCAGAGTTTGGTTGGGGGTTTACATTATTCCTAGCACCTGAGATCCTAACCTGAAGATTAAGGTTCTTCACCTCAGGTGTTTACTTGTATTATAGGGGTACAGGGCTGCATCCACAGCGGTGACAGTAGTAATGAATCCACCCATTTCCTAGCAGAGGAATGGTTCATAAGGCTTCTTTGAGAGTTAAGCCCTGTGCCTAAAAAAAGGGGACCCTTACTATGTGTCAAGCTGCTACTGTTATGCATTCTTTCCTCTTTCTGCCTTTGGGGTAGTGGAATTATCTAGGAAACTAACTGGACAGCAAACCAGTTAGAAAGACCGTTGCTTAAACCAGCTTGCATGTAAAATGTACGAGAAAATAAGAGGGACATGCTGCTTGAAGTACTAATTATTCTGCAAGGCCAAGATGTCCAGGACATGCCAGGGCAGCGCCTCTCAACCTTGTCCTCTGAAAGTCACAAACCCTTTCTCTAAAAAACCATCCATCTTCTGGTGCAGTATTGCCAACAGTTTTCATTAGCAACCAAGTAAAAATGAAATTAAAATAGGAATACTCTTTTGCGGTTTTGATTTGCTCTCCTCCTACTTTGTTGGGTCCTGTAGTTGCTTCTATGTGTGGGGTATATTAAAGAAAAGACTAATTACAGGCCTGTTACACTCACTTTCAGAAGCCTTACCACTGGTCTTTGGTGAACAGGTTGAGAACACCTTGGCAGAGCCAAACAGCAGAGCCTAGAAATCTAGTTGGTATGTTTCAAAGGGGCTAAACTTCTTAAAAAGCAGCAGCCATGCTTTACTCCTTTTACTGGTCAAAGCCATGCTGAATAGTCCTCTGCAATGATAAATTCCAGTGGGATAGTCTGTGAGCCTGATCTATGCGGATTTACCATGCTCTGTGCAGCCCTTGCCAAAACTGATGACTGTACGCAGACGCATGTGTGAGAAAAGACGGCTAGGACTGGTTTATAAACAGTATATGGTGAGCAGTTCTTCAGTAAAATAAGCTATTGTTTACGTGCGACTGCATCACTACTGCGTCTTATTTTTAGGGTGGCTGTAAGAAGTGGGCAATTGCCTTCAGCAAGTGCGTAAGCAACTTGGCTGTTCTGTGAAGAATAGAAAACAGAGCAAGCAGCTTTTTGATTGAGGGTAAAATTTAAGTTATCACTGGCTATTAACCATATCTTCTACTTCTCTGAGACTGCAGTAAGGCATGCCCAGGGGTAATAAAAGCTGTTGATCTGGCATGAATGATTCCTGAGAAGGCATGCTATTTAAACATTCACTCTTTTCAAGCTATTTTCTTGCTTTTAAACTGCTCTCTAATATATGTAGCTTGGGAGCTTTTTGTGACAAGCAGAGAACCCTTGCTACATGTAGGTATCATCTATGAACAAAATAGTCGCCTTGGAAGAGCG